CATTACTTCAAAAATGTATAATTATACTAATACAATGAATTCTTGTATACGGCAAGTTCTCACAACGCGAATTCCTATAACGAGCTAAAGATATTGAGATTACTGTTTTCATATAACGCGATTATTCGTTGAACGCGCCAAATGACAAAACACAAAATTTTCCTACTGTTGAGAATTACAACTGCTTTAGTTGAGAATTACATTGTTTTCATCATCATATAAATTTGTAGAAATACATTTTATTAAAATTTAATAAAATAAAAAATTTCCATAAATAATAATGACTTTTTTATCAATTGCTTGTACATGCCATTTACTTTTTGAATACTGTGCTGTTTAATAAAGCATAGAAAATAGGGAGTTTACATAGCAGTAATCATTTTGAATATATTACCTTAGAGATTGTATGTGTTATGTAAGAAAAATTCCCATATACCACGATTTCCTATAACGCAAATTTATACATATGTATATACCGTGTTGGATTATTTATGTATAATCCTTTACAAAAATGAATCGTTGAGAATCACTGTTTTCTTTCTTTGTAAGAATCATACTGGCACCACCAGGTCTAAGGGCCTGTGACTATTTAGAGTCGAAGGCCAGGGTAATAAACATGGTGCAGAGTTTTCCTTTTGTATTAAGTGGACGCTAGCTTTCCCTTTTAGAGTCAGAGCGCCAACCTCACTTCTAGAACAGTTTTCAAAGAGTAAAGACGTGCTTCCGAGCCAGTATAAATAAAACAAGATAATAATTAGATAGAGGACTATAATCATTTACCCATAATCCAATATACCGCATTGTGTGAAAATGTACTGAATACGAATAGCTTCATAAATTTTTTTTTCAATGTCATGTTTAAGTTACTCTATTATTTCTAAAATAATAATTCTAAATAATAGAAATAAGTACAACTGACTGTTGTAAGAGCGAGCGTGAATAGCGTGAAAAAAGAAAGATTCTATTTTCCGTCGATGGGATATTCCATCGACCGTTAGACAAATGAAGATCGGCAACGACGTCATCGCCCGGCGTCGTCCGACGATCGAGGAGTCCGGCTTTGTCTGTTGCGTCGAGCAGATCTCGCGACGACCATTTTTTACGTTTTTTCGAATAAATTTCTGATCTTTCTGCCTCATCAGTGTCTTGTGTGTATAAATATTGGATACTGATTTTACAGAATGAATGACTTATTTATTAAAATAATAATAATAGCAAATTTTAGTTTAAATCTTATGAATAATTATGTGTACGTTTGGTTTTGACTGTGTTTAGTGCTAGAGAGGTTGCTGAATTCTGATGTCTGTTATTTTCTTCTGGTTGCAAGAAAATGTTTATACGCAGGAATATTTTAGATGTTTCTAACGCTTATTCCTATCGGTTAAAATGTGATTACTGATACCGTACGTAGGTAAAGGTCTGATTCCATTAGGGTAGTAAACAATATCTCTTCGTTGAAGTATTTGCTAATTATCATATGCTATTACTATCCTAGCGGATTTTAAAATAGTTTTACAAAATATTGACTTTTCTGTTCGTTATGTTCAAGTAATAAACCATTTCGGTCAAACAGACTTTTGGGAATTTCTAAAAGGGTCTGAGCGTTCCCCAGGAAACAAGATTCAAAAAAACCATATGGATCGTGTAGCCTGCTTCGAGTAGACCACGCGTACCCATGTTTGGCGTTCCAAATCACCGTCGTCGCTCCAGAAGGGGAGGAAATGTCTCCCGAGCGGTCGAAGTACATCGGACATACGGCGACTTGAAATACTCATATCTCACCCGCGTTTAGGGCTACAGAGCTAATCGAGTGTTCTTTGGAAAGCTGGAGAAACGTACTTTCTGATGCG